GTGAGATGATGAACCCAAACAGTGGGCACGAGGGTCCAGGTCTGAGCTGGGGAGCTTGTTGGAAAGGAGAGTGGTCTTTTAGGTGAAGAAAAGAAGCAAAACCCCTGAGTGACTGAGTACTGCAATGTCAGGGAAACAACAGTCATCTGAGATAGCTTAAGGTATCACCAAGAGACCTCTTGGGAGGAGAGGAGAGTTTTTTGTATAAATTACTACTTTGTGGCCATTGATTGGGCTGTGAGGAGACCTGCATTTATTCACCTTCACCTCTGTTTCCAGTTCAGTTCCCATTCCTAACCCTATTTTTGCCAGTCTTTTCTGAAGATACACTTGGAAACCAGGGAGAGGAAAAAATAGTGCTTAGATTTCTGTGGCTTTTAAAAAACGTCCTTTTTTGTCCTATTTTCCCCATCTAGAAAGTTACACTTTAGCTGTATAGATTTATGTAGAAATCAGAAAATTAAGTTCATGGGGAAACTTCTGAAAGGAAAAGTATGCCTAATGTTTCATTTTCAGTTTCTCATTGTTTGTTGAAAAAGTTATTTTCCTGTGTTAAAGAAAGCCATAGAACAAAAAAGTTTCCAAGAGTGCTGTTCTGACTAGCTTTTCCAGCTTGGGCAAGGTCTGGGGATTGTTAAGATAATGAACATGGACAATTTTGGTTTCTTAACTGTTTCCCTCACCATCTAAACCAGTGACTTCAGGAGAGGACCCCAGCAGAGGGAATTGGGGCAGCATTGCAGCCAGGGAGTTTTTCCATCCAGGATTGGGTCCAGGGGATGAGACTGATGCTCTCCCCTGCTTTTTGCTGGTTTTGCTTAGAAATCTGGGAGGAAGAAATTAAAAATTCAGGAGGAAGGAGAAGTAGGGAAGAACTGCACTTCCCTGGCAGTTTTCCTACTTGAGAGGCTGTAGTTAGAGCATGGTGAGTTTGCTCACTCCCCTTGCCTTGGGTTGGTGTTGGCAGCGCAGATTTTGGTGGGAAGGGCAGCACAGATTTTGGTGGGAAGGGCAGCACAGATTTTTGGGGGGAAGGGCAGTGAAGATTTTGGGGGGTGGCACCGCAGGTTTTGTAGGGAAGGGCAG